AAAAAAAAAAAAAAAAAAAAACCTACCAGAATAATTTGAGTACCAATACATACACAGATGCAAATAACTGAATAAATGGGAGAGAAAAGACAAATCCCAGCTACTCAAGAGGTTGAGACATGAGGACTGCTTAAGTTCAAGAGTTCAAGGACAGCCTTTGCAACAAAGCAAATCCCCATGTCTTAAAAAAATAAAGATCAAGAAGCCAGGTACAGAGGCTGGGGTTGTGGCTCAGCAGTAGAGCACTCACCTAGCATGTGTAAGGCCCTGGGTTTGACCCTCAGCACCATGTAAGAAAAAATAAAAATAAAGTTAAAAAAAAAAAAAAAAGAAGCCAGGTACAATGGCACATGCCTGAAACTCCAGGAACTCAGGTGGCTGAGGCAGGAGAACCACAAGTCAGCCTCATCATTTTAGTAAGACCCTGTCTCAAAAAATAAGGACTGAGATGTACTTCTACAGTAAAGTGCCCCTGGGTTCAATCCCTACATAAAAAAAACAAAGTGAAAATTTTTAAGAAGGAAACATACACACACACACACACACACACACACACACACACACACACACACTTCTTGCCCTGCACCATCTTGGGACTACCAACACGAAATCAATCACCAGATGCAGCCCTATGACCAGAACTGAGGGCCAAAATAAATCTTTTCTTTATAATTTACCCATACAGTTTGTGGTACTGTATTAATAGCAAGAGAAAACAGATTTAAGACAGTTATCTATAAGAGAGATGAAATGAATGGATGATATTAGAAAAAACAGCTAGTTGGCTTTCAGCACTTTAAATAGCAAACCAACAGAAGTTGAAAATTCTATGAAGGAATGCATCAGAGCTGTTCATCACTGCACATCTAGTACCTAGAACAGCACTCTGCACACTATGGGTTCTCAAAATTTGTTGAGAACACAGGAGGGAGGGAAGGAGGAAGGGAAGAAAGGCAGGAAGAAAGAGCACTGTATAGAGCACTATTTTAATTTATTCCCAGGTTTTACCTTTTGTTATTGCTTTTTTCTTTCTCCTTTACTAATTGATTAGAGCAAGGAAAGCTATTCATATCACAATATTAACTTCGAAAATGACCATCTGACTGCCTGTTCATAATGTTCTAAAACGTTTATTTTTCCAGTCTTCTTAGGTATCCGTAAGAATAACTTTTCCCTAACAATTACATTTCATTTTGTTCTGCCTCACTGTGTTACCTAGCACTTCCAGAAAGATGCCAAATAAAGGCAACATTAAATGGCTTCCTTGATGGGCTCCTGACTTCACTGGGAATACTTCTAGTTTTTCCCCACCATTAAGCATGATGCTGAGCATGATTTAACATATTCATCTGTTCCTCCTAACAAGGACTTTTTTAAACATAAGGAACTCAAAATTGTATTTAAATGTAGAAAACATTTTAATTTAGATAATTTTCTTTAGTTTCTTAACGAATTCAATGGAAACATTTCCAAATAATCAACTATCCCCATTTTCTGTCAAATTATATTTTGTCAAGGTAATATGTCTTTTAGTATAGTCATAATTCTATTTGCTAAATATAACTTGGGTTTCCATCAATGTTAGTGATGCTGATGTGCTTTTGGCCATGTTTTAGTATTAGTGTGAGCTAAATTTAAAAAGCAATAGGAAGCTTTCCTTCCTTCTTTATGCTATGTGTCAATTTAGGTAACATCAGAATTATCTATTCCTTATAGGCTTAAAACAATTCTTCAGTTTATTTCCCAAAACTGATACTTGACTTTTTTGGAGCTAAAGCTCTTTGCTAGTTTTCTTGAACCTTTCCTTACACACAGATGTCTGCATTTTTCCACAAATGCCAAAATTATCTTGATTTACATTTTCTTAAACAATTTATTTCATCCAGCAGTTTTTAATTTTTAATCTCGAAAATGTTTTGGAAAACTTATTTAGGTGCTAATTTATCCCAATTGATTAAGAAAAATAAGTTATAAAGATAGGAAATGAAATAAAGGTGTCAATTTATTAGAATTTGGAAGAGTTGCTGGATACAAAAGTCAACAAGTCAACTGCATTTCTATGTATCAGCAAATAAACTACTATTTATAATAGCATCAAAAGCATAAGGCTACTAGAAATAAGACATATAAAGAGAGAATTCATTAAAACTTCAAAGGTCTAAATGGAGAGGTACTGAATTACAAGACTCAACACTGATCCATARCTGCAATTCCCAATGAAATTCAAGCAGAATATTTGTAGAGCTTTGACAAACTAATTTCAAAATCTTTAACTGTAAGTGTTAAGAGCCAAATAACAAAGATACCCTTGAAGAAGAATGCATTTGGGAATATGGAGGAAGGGATATATCAAAAAAGTCTATAAGGCTACAGTCCTTAGACCAGTATGGACACAGGGTAAACTAGGCAGGCAAGAGGATCACAAGTTTGAGGCCAGTCCAAGCAATTCATCGAGACCCTGTCTCAAAAAATAAACAGAGCTGAGGAAGCAGCTCAGTCCTTGGTACAGTACCTCTGGGTTCAATCCCCACTACCACAAACAAACAAATGAAACCCCACCAGAAGCTGGAAACAGACCAAATATCTATTATGGATTAGTTATGTGGCATGTTAATAAAATGGAATAATGTAATATTGTAAAATAATAAAATGTAGCTGTATGCATCAGAATCTCTCAATTATATATAGAATTACATAGAATTCCATTATATAAATTCAAACACAGACAAATCCACCTATTGTTTAGGGAAATATACATAAGTAGTCAAACTAAAGAGAATGATCATAAAAGTTAGAACAAAGTCAGTTTACCTCTTAGGGAAGCCTATTCTGGTAGGGGCACACAGGAGGCTTTAAAAAGGTACTGGCATCATTCTACTTCTTAACCTTGGTAGAATTATATCTGTTTGTTTTATTATTTAAACTTTGCATGCACATTTTATACATTTATGTATAAAGTTCAAATTTTTAAAGACTATTTTTATAAGTTAAAATATTGACAGCCTAATCTTTATTTTCAAAGGCAATCAATGTTTACTTATTCACAACATACTAAAGAGAACAGACATCTGTATTCTTACAACTAAGTCTGAAGACAACATACCTTATATAGTCCAATGCCAGGATCAATAAGACAAGCACGAGTTGACGTAGATGGTTGGCTAGAAGATCCCACCTTTGCAGTTTTCTTCACTTTAGGTGGACTATTAGAACAGGGTTTAGTCTGTACATCAGTCTGTTTAGATGTGCTAGGAAGATCAGGATCTGGACGAACTAGTAGCTGAATTATATCATTCAGTCCAACATCATAGTCAAATAAAGTATATCCATTTTCCAGCTAGAAAAAAAAGAAAAATATATTAAAAGGCTTCTCTTAAGTCTTAAAAAAAAAAAACAACTTATCTTTCGTTGCCTAAATGTTCAAGCCAGAATATTAAAATTCATAGCACTGCAACTTAGTGATCTGAAATAATTCTTATTATTTTATGACCTTTAATGTCAGCATTTTCTCCAGACCCCAATCAATACTTACAAACTACTCCATAAGCCAGGCACAGTGGTATATGCCTATAATCCCAGTTTAGGCCTGGGGAGGCTGAGGAAGGAGGATCACAAATTTCAGGAAAAACTCAGCAACTTTATTGAGACCCTGTCCTAATTTTTTTTTTTTTAAAGGGGAAGGGGATGGCTAGGATGTAGCTCAATGGTAGAGCACCACTGGTTCAAGCCCAGAACAAAAAGAAAATTAAAAAAAGCAACACTGCACATTAGCTACAGGGAACACTGCTAGCCATGAAGAAGAAAGAAGAAAGAAGAAGAAAATAGAGCATCCTTGTGACTGTGATCTCATGACCTAGCCTATCACCAAATGTTCATTTTAATGAACAGTGCCTGAATCCACTGCAAGGAAAAAAGAATTTTGAAAGCAATGACCTTGCTTTGTAAAGATATTAAGTCAAATACTATCTTTCTGAAACACTGCTGAGATGCACACATGCGCCTCTAWATTTTTTCTTGTTGGTTCTGGGGATTGGATTAAAGTGTAGTTCTACCACTGAGCTGCACCCCCAGATGTTTTTTTAAGACAGTCTTGCCAAATTGCCAAAATTGGCCTTGAACTTGTGAGCCTCCTAACTCAGTTTCCCGAGTCCCTGAGTTTAGAAGCATGCATCACTGACCAACTTGTCAATATTTTAAAAACCAGGCAGGAATAATTATAATTCTTGCTTATGCTATATTCCACTTGCCTGAAGTTCTCTGATTTTATGCATTTACAAAGATTACTGAGTTTTAGCATGAAATCTTCCAGGACAAATAGCAAATAAGTCATCTTGCAACTCAGACATATTTTGAGGGTTATGGGTTGAATTGTACTTCCTTTCCCAAAAGAGAGATTGATGTACCTACTTAGGGTGCATAAGGCCCTAAGTTCAAGTCCCCAAACCAAACCAAACCAAAACAAACTTCAGAATGTGACTATATTTGAAATAAGGGCCATTAGAGGCAGTCAGATCGTACATTTCACTGAAGAAGTGCAAAACTTTTATTTGTTTTGGGCTGAGTTGTGTCTCCCTCCCCATTTTGGGGGAGTACCAGTGATTGAACACAGGGGTGATTTAACACTGAGCTACATCTCCAGCTCTTTTATTTTTGAAAAAATATTTTTTAGTTGTAATTGGACACAATACTTTTATTTTATTTATTTATTTATTTATATGTGGTGCTGAGGATCGAACCCAGGGCCTCTCACATACGAGGCAAGAGCTCTACAGCTGAGCTACAACCCCAGCCCTCTTTTATTTTTTGAGACAGGGTCTTGCCAAGTTACTTACTGTGATAGAATGAATCAAGAAAACTAAATTCCTTGAAGATCAGATCATTTTCCCCAGAAATATGACCAATCTGAACTGTGCTCATTCTCCCCTCTGATCACCATTCACAAGTCAACTAACTCTGGCAATATTTGAGAAGTCAACTGAAAAGAATAAGTCTGTTAAATATAGCAGACTTATAAACTTATTAATACACTAGATCAGTGATTTTAATTCCTATAGTCCAAGAACACCTCAAACTTGTGAACATCCTGTCTCAGACTTGTGAGTTTACAGGCTTGCATCACCATGCCTCACCCTCCCATGCTTCAGTCCTAATCCCCAATGCCTCAGAATGTGACCCTATTTGGAGACAGAATCTTTAAGGAGATAATTAAGTTAAAATGAGGTCGTTAGAGTAAGCCCTTAATTCAATAGGAGGGGTATCCTTATAAAAAGGGGAAATGTGGACCAAGGGAAGATCATGTGAAGATATACAGGGAAAAGGAGGCCACGTGAATGCACTAGATAACATCTCCAAGGTTAAAAAAAAATTCCTGCAAACACAGAAGCACAGGGATTCTCCTCTAGACTTATCAGAAGGCACATCCCTGCTGACTAACCTTCAATTCTAACCTCCTGAACTCAGAGAAAATTTTTGTGATTTTAGAACAACTAGGTTTTAGTTTGTTATAGTAGCCCTAGGAAACTGTCTCCATTTTATTTCTTTATAAAATTCAATTGGCTATTTCACTGTGGTACAATGAATCAAGAAAAACTAAATTCCTTGAAGATCAGATCATTTCCCCCAGAAATATGACCAATCTGAACAGTGCTCTTTCTCCCTTCTTTAATATATATTTATCACCATTCACAACACAATTCTGGCAATATTTGAGAAGTTAACTGAAAAGAACAAGTCTGTAACAGACTTATAAACTTACTAATATACTAGATGAGTGATTTTAATTCCTATAGTCCAAGAACACACAAGTATTCATATTGTTAAATAGAACAAAAGAACAATAATTTCATAATTCCCCAGTGAAGGAATTAAATTAGGTCCTATCTCACAGGTTAGTTAATGTGCTTAACCTAGAGTTGAGGCTATAGCTCAGTGGGAAGAGTACTCACATAGCATGAGCAAGGCCCAGGAATTGATCCTCAGCAATATACATACACAATGTAAACTCAGCCTTAATAAGCCTAAGTAGTAACCAGATAAGCCCTTATAGGGGTAGGAATTTAATATTGCTTACTTTATTAAAAACAAATAACTCTCTAGTCCTGAACTAATGTGGGGAAGGGGTGGGGGACTCAAGAAGCAGAAACTGGGCATTGATACCTTCATTTTTATATTCTCCAATAATCAAAAATAAGAACATCCTAATTTTCAAAGAGCTGAAAAAGCACAACTTTGACTATATATGCAAACTGATAAACATTGCCATTTAAAAAAAATAAGTGTTTAAAGTTAAAAATAAAATGTAACAGCACAAAATAAGCAAATTAACTGGTAGGGCAGCAGTTAAAGTGGTAAAATAATTAGAAATTGAAAATGTTTCCATAAACATTTTTTCCATTAGAGGCACAAGAGTCAGAGGGACCTGGGGACATTCCTACACTCAAAGTCTCTGGCAATTTTCTACCAAATGATTGTCAAAAGTAAATATAGATTGCTTCAAGTGGTTCCCTTTCTCAACTTGGTTTGACAGAAAAAGGATGTCTGAAGTCAGTGAAACACTAAACACATCAAAGCTGAAGTCCTATAATAAATGTTATCACCTTTCTTCATGCTTGCTGTGACAAACTTTTTCTTCAGATCATCCATTTGGGAAAAATTCTAGTCTTCCCCAAACAAGTCACTACTATCCACAGCACAGAAAGTTTCATACAGCTTTATTCTGCAAATTTCACACATATGAAGAGCTGAAGTGTTGAAATAATTTAAATATCAGAGTTCTTAGGTATTAAGGAAAGTACACAGTTATTTCTGTCACTCAAATTATGCTGAGTGGGGAGAAAGGGATGTCATCTAGAAATTACAAACACCAATAGTTTCAGGGAAGTAACTATAATCCATGAATGAATGAGTCAAAGAAGTTATTCTTTGAAAACTGTTATACTAGAATTTAAGGTGCAAGATTTTCAATTCTGACCAGGCAAAAATAGTTAGGACTTTATTTAGTCAGACTGCACTCTTGGATTTCTACTGGGTTTAAAGAAGAAGTTTCAGGAAACAAAGAACTATAACAATGATGCAAGGGAAAACTAGGAAGAAAAAAAAAATGACTGGCAGTGACCACAGAGGGAGAGGGGAAAAAATCATTCACAAGGAACATGAGTAGAAGGAATAACTTCCATGTTGATATTTTAAATCAGGACTCTTTAAAAGAATATGTGCACATATATACACATATACATATATATGCACATATATATATACACACACATATTCTTTTAAATAGGCAAAATCTTTACTTTTTCTCCATGTGAAAAAGTATGAAGGCAAAAAGCAAATACTCAGTTTTTCTTCAGCTATCCTTCATGCCTCATATCTACAATCCACTTAAGGCTACCCAGATAGTGACAAGGCAAGAAAACAAGGGGAGGAAGTCTTTACAAAATAGTAAACACTCTAGATTCTAGAAAGATTTAGAGGTATAGAAATCACTTTAAATTCTACATTTTTTTAAAAAGATGCACTCCCCACAGTTCCTCAACCCCAACCTCCCAGATTTAAAAAAAAAAAAAAAAGTCCAAATGAGGATACCCTATTCAGCCAGAATTTACAGCCCTGTTAATTGTATGCTTTTCCAATTTAACTGCATATAAATCACCATGTTAAACTATGTATTCAGCTTCAGTAGACCTGGTATGACATACCTGTGCCAAGCTAATGCTGCTTGATCCTGAGAACATAGTAAGTATACTCTCAATAGTAAGAAACTAGTACAAGRCTATCCTCTCAAAATTCATCTTCAAACCCTGGTATTCATCAGAATCTCCCCTGGTGCCTTGGGTGCATTTATTTCAAACCTCAGAACTGGAGTCAAATTGTGGTCTATCAATCCTACTATGCATTTGCAAATCTGAAGTGAGCTAAGCATCTGTAATAATATCTGTAAGTAAGTCTGATACACACCAAAGAGTAAAAGCAGCAGACATAATAGGATGGGGGAACTTAACATGTATAAACTGTAAACATATTTATTTATTTACTTACTTATAGGTAGGGTCTCCCTATATTACCCAGGCTAGTCTCCAACTCTGGATTCAAGGGATCCTCCCAGTCTCCCAAGTAATTGGGACTACCATGCCCAGTTTATGTAAATTTTGTTTTTATTTATGACATTTTTCACTGTGTGGCTGTAAAAGCACCTTAAGAAAGGGATGCCTTTTTTTTCCTAATGTGCACAAGTCATTTTATAGGCTAGGAACACCTCCATGATACCAATCCAGTAGCTGCCTGCTATAGGCACAGTATGCTCTCCGTGGACTGCCATGGCTATTTGTCATTAATAAGGAAATGAACACAGCCAGCAGCAGTGTCTTCTTTTTCTCTCTCCAAGTCAATGAGCTGGCACCGAAAGTCTATTCCTCATCCCTATTGGTTTATCACTGGGCTGAAAAAAATCAAAGCAGTGAATTATCAACTGTCCTGGGAGAAGTACAAAGATTGTTATCCTCAACAGTTTTTCCCAGAATCTGGAACCAACATCCTGGTTTACTAGAAGTCTACTTTGTTGCCCTGAACTTAATTCAACCCCAATCCTTTCCTCAAGACAGGTAAGTACATTTTATCTTAGGATATCTGATAGACTTTTAAGGTTAATTAATTTCACTTCAGGGTGAAATTAATTCATCAGAATACATTCTCATCCTTTATTTCTCTCTCTGGCGCCAAAATTACCAAAATGCCCTAGGTAATAAGGCACCACTCTCCCTGGCTTGAAAATAAAATTAAGACTTGATTACATACTTTTTCATCTGTGACAAACAAGAAATGTTATCAATCTGCCACTTGAGGCACAGCAATACAAAGTTACATAGTAGTAAATACAGCAATGGTTATCTACTTCCAAAGAAAAGTTTACAACTAAATTCAACACCTGGTTTTTGGAAAAAAGAAAGAAAGAAAAAGAAAAAAATCCGAACACTAAGGAATTAGTTTAAAACTGGCTACAGTCACAAATCAAAGGGCTATAACATTTTTTTAAATGGAAAGCCAAAAACCAAAACAAAACCAAAAAAACATCTTGGCTCCCTCTTTTCCAAGTAACAATAATTTGTTATTCTGAAATTTCTGAATGATCCTGGAAAGGTAAATCTATCAGAAAGAGAAAAATATTCCTTTCAAACTCTTTGCAGTTAGGAGGTTCTACCAAATTAAAGAGATGCACTGATTTTAAACCTCAGAATTGGAGTCAAACTGCAGTCTAACAACTTCAGAATGACAACTTTTTAGTGGATTAACAACAAGAAGACAAAAGAAAAATGCAATGGGTCTGGGAGTATGAGAATATACTTTGAGACTTGTGGGATAGAAAATATCTTAGACTGGCCAGATCACAGTCTATTTATAACGACTATCAGAGAAGTCCACAAACACACTCACCATCGAAAACACCTTCCACCTTCAGCTTTCAAGTTATTGCTAGCTGTGCGAAGGCTAGCTATGAATGAGGGAAATATTTGAAGGTGAGAAGAACAGCACTCTGGGGAAAAAAAACCCTGGCCCTATACTGGGCAGTGTTAAAATGAGTTACATCAATAGCTCAAGTCCAGGTCTCTAACCTCACCTAGGACAGATTCCAAGTCTAGGAGAGGCAGCCAGGGAGAAGAACCAAACATTCTGGAAGCCCTTCAGATCTTCAATGTGTGCAAACCTTCCACATTAGGTGAAAGGTTAATCTTCTTGAACCCGAGAGAGTAATGCCCAAGTTTCCATCTCCTATCTGGGAGCCAGGAGCGCGAAAGGGCCACAAAGCTATAAGCGCCGTTAGCTGGGTCAGCGCAGCTGGGAGCCTGGGGAGCTGGAGATGCCAGCTCACCCCTCCCGTGCTGTGGCATGGCCGCCAGAGCTCACTGCCCTCCCCATCCTCCAGGCACCCTGGCTCCATCCAGCGCGGTAAGGAAGGAACCCAGGGCCCTGTCACGCTCTGACTGCAGCCTCTACCCCCACTTAATAGGAAACAGCAAGGTGTCCACACGCCTAGTGCTCTCACCTCTGAACCTGCTAGACGCACCTGTAGCCAGGGCTGGCAGGGACCTGCTGCAATCTTTATAACAGGCCGGGCCCGCACCCAGCGCCTCCCAAGGCTGCCCTCCCGAAGCAGAGCAGGGTGCAAGCCTTGCCAAGCCCTAGGGCCTACGCATCCAGAGGCGCCCGGCTGCTCCCTCCCAGAGCTTCCCAAGGGACAAGGTGAAGTGCCTCACCTGCTTGCCCCGGTAGAAGAGACGCTGGCACTCGGGCCGCACGTCGAACAGCGCCCAAACCCGCTCACGTAACTCCTCGATCGTGGCTTTGCGAGAAACGTCCTCAATGGTACGCGTTTGGGAACCATCGATGGTACGAACCTGGATCCACATCTCAGTACCGGGAGAGGGGGTCCCCTTTGTCTCCCCCGGTGCTTAGGACGCTGTGCCCCGCCGCCTCCCCAGCGCCTCGGGTTCTCAGCAGCTGGTAGGCGAGCGTGCCCACAGGCGAAAACGACCTACCGGACTTGGGCCCGACAGGCGGAGGCACCTCCCAGACCCCGTGCCCGCCCAGGCCAGCGGAGGAGAGRAAACCGGAACCAGCCCGAGGTGCTATACCACAGCCTCCTCCTCACAAATAGGAAGAAACCATGTCTCGGCCGAGTGTTTACTTATAGAGCTGTAGCTCCCACATGGAGGTCACGGCGCCAACCCGAATCTCGCGAGATCCATGCGGGGCTCCGCCTTAAAAAGGAAGCGGAGAGGGAGATGGTTATAGACCTCAGGGTTGGGGGGGCTGTGGAGGGGGAAACGCGAGAGGGCGGGTCTCAGGGGCGGGGCTGCCGAAAGCCGTTATTTGCCCACAGCTTTTACCGGGACCCTGGGCACGCCTCCTATCAGATCTCAGCAGGTCTTGGCGCTGCTCTTGGCAGTTTTACCCTTTTAGGACCTAGTTTCTGGCCGAGATGCGGGGGAGACTCCTCAGGCCTAGCGGATATACCTCTCTAGTCTCAAAAACACATCAAAAAATACAAGAAATGCACTTTTATATTCATGGAATGTGGGACACAACCTAAATTCTGAGAAGCCTTGAGGGACTGGTGGACTGGGAAAGGCCCCAGGACTCTTCTGGAACACGGCCCCACCTGTTCAGACTGTTGCCTTAGCTTGGAAACCGCTTCCTGGGGTATCTCGCTGCTGAGCCCAGGTGCTGGGCCCTAGCCCCAAAGACCAGGGTCCCTACTGGGACCACGTCCTGGGCTCCCACCCCAGCCTCAGATCGTGGAAGGCGTGGCGCCGAGGCCCCCAGCTAACTGCTGGCTAGAAGTGGAATTTCAGTTTGCCGACCAACGGGGACCTTCGTGTTAGGGTTGTCTTTGGCGTAAGGGATTGTGGGTTTGCGGAAAACAGTTTTGAATAATGCAGAACTACAAGCCTCCGAAGAAGAAAGAACTTCAAAGAGCCTACTTGAAATAAATTCTCGAAATTCGCTCAGCGCAACACTACCTAAAAAGGAGCCCATTTGAAATGAAAATATAACTTCATAAGAAGGGAGAAAGCATCTGAAAGAAACAAAACAAATAACTTGTACCTTATATTTGCCTAAATTGGCAACTTGAATATTCAGACCAGTGCTAACTAATTCCATAGAGTAGCATTTTTAAATTACCGACTAAAACAATTATAAGTACAGACAAGGTCAGTATTATTTTATAAAAGAAAAATATGGGAGCTGAAGTTGTGGCTCATGGGATAGAGCGCTCGCCCAGCACATGTGAGGCACTGGGTTCAATCCTCAGCCCGACATAAAAATACATAACAAAAATAAAGGTATTGTGTTCATCTACAACTAAAAAAGAAGGGGAAAAAAAAAGGCCCTACTCAAAAGGACAGAAAAATAATGGAATATACGTACATATTTCAGGTCTCTGCCCTTGCTGAAAATTTCGCATTCATTTAGACTCTAAATAAAATTCACCTGTCTCCCAATAGTGCTAGAGCAAATATTAAGTGTTCACAACATATGCAAATGAAATGGTAGGTATACCTAAAGCACACCTCTGATCTGCCAGATGAAGGGAGAACTAGTTGCTATTATAAGATTATGTTATGCTTTTGTGGAGTTATGTAGTTTTTGTTGTTGTTCCCTGCTCACAATTTACAGTCTAGTTAGGATTTAGCAAAAATTAAAACACTCAGGATGATTTAATACTAAACAGTTTGATGTTAATGAAAACCTCGATTAGAGATGTCAAAGCCGGGACTAAAATGATCTGGAAGACAGGTGTAAAACATAGCCTGAGTTAGATGGACTATTGTAGGCTAAAGCAGCATTTAACTGTTGGGTTCTCGGAATGGATAATCAGAATTGTAATCCCAATTTAGCTCTCTACTTAAGACGTGAATCTTGGGACATTTTACTTGCTCCAGTTTCCTCCATGTAAATAAGTACTTATACACTAATGAATGTAAAATACTTTGCTCAGTGCCTATCGCTTAGTACACAATAAATTACTTTAGTGCTATTGTTATGGAAAGGATTTAGATAAACAAAGAGTGCCCAAAGAGGAAAGTATGCATTTTCGGATCAGCAGAGATTGCATATCAAAGAAAGGTTGACTAAATAGGGAAGAGCAGGGTGTGAAGATTAGCATTCACAACAGTAGTCCCCGCCTGTCCCCACGGGTATGGGGAGGAGACTAAGGGTACTTTGATGTGATGAAGTACTTGGAAAGACAGTAGGATGATCTAGGGAGAGAAGCAGGAGAGAGATACTGGTCTGATTTTCTCAAAAGAGACAATTGTGCCAATTTTGGCAAAATTTGTGGAGTGGATAGGAGAGGAAAGGGTGTATTCCAGAGTATTCTAGAAAATTGAGCTTCCAGAATGTGAGAAAAATCTTTTCCATCTGCACCTCAGACCATTAATCTCCAGGATATATAAAGAACTAAAAAACCTTAACATCAAAAAAACAAACTACCCAATCAACAAATGGGCAAAGGAACTAAACAGACACTTCACAGAGGAAGAAATATGATCATCAACAAATATATGAAAAAAGGTTCATCATCTCTTGCAGTTAGAGAAATGCAAATCAAAACTACTTTAAAATTTAATCTCACTCCAGTAAGAATGGTGATAATTAACAAGAACACAACAATAAATGTTATCGAGATGTGGGGGGGAAAAGGTACACTCATACATTGCTGGTGGGACTGAAAATTGGTACAACCACTGTGGAAAGCAGTTTGGAGATTCCTCAGAAAACTTGGACTGGAACAACCATTTGACCCAATTATTGCACTCCTCTAGTGACATGGCCACATCAAGTTTATAGCAGCTCAATTCAGAATAGCTAAAGTATGGAACCAACCTCAGTGCCCTTCAACAGAAGAATGGATAAAGAAAATGTGGTATATATACACAATGGAATATTTCTCAGCCATAAGGAAAAATGAAATTATGGCATTTTCCTATAAATGGATGGAACTGGAGATTATCATGCTAAGTGAAATAAGCCAACCTCCCAAAACTAAAGGCTGAATGTTCTGATAGTGGATGCTGACTCACAATAGGTGTGTGTGAAGGAGTGAAGCTTCACTGGATTGGAAGGGTGAAGGAGAGGAGGAGAAAGGGGGGGATGGGAATAGGAAATAGAGTAGAATGAATCAGACATAACTTTTCTATGTTCATTTATGAATATACAACCGGTGCAACTCCCCACCATGTACAACCACAAATATGAGCATTTATACTCCATGTATGTATGATATGTCAAAATAATTCTACTTCATGTATAACTAAAAAGAACAAATTTTAAAAAAATCTTTGTCCATGGTAAAAAAAAAAAAAAAACACAGTGATCAGACACCAAAAAAAAAAAAAAAAGAAGAAAAGAAAAAGACATTTCAACTTTTAAGGCTCATGGAATATATGGATGTAAGGAAAGAGAAAATGGAATGTTGACAATTCTTAAATTTCTACTTGGAAGCCTTAACTGAATGGGTTAGATAAATGGTGTTCTTAACTAGAAGAGGGAGCAAGTTGGGGAAATGCAGCAAGTTCCATTTGAGCTGTATTGCATTTGAAATCCATCCAAAATATACTGAGATGAAGAAGTCTGACAGTTAAAAATACAAGTCCAAAATATTTTAAAAAGAGGGGCTAGTCAAGACTTCCTGTACTCAGTCCTATGAAGAACTTCATTCTTCTTAATGAAGTAGAATTTTACTAGAAAAGTAAAAACTTCAGCAAGTGGGGGTGGGGCAGGATTGGTGGTATTAACTGAAAAGAGCTCAAAGGAATCTTCTGGGTGATGGTAATATTTTGTATTTTGACCTTTACAGTGAAGTATATATGTAAACATTTGTTGAAGTATAAACATGATTCATTCACTTTATTAAGTTTTTATATATGCCTACAGTCACAATTACTGTAGTTTTTATATATGCCTATAGTCACAATTGGAGGTCTTTCTGGGCTGGGGATGTGGCTCAAGCGGTAGCGCGCTTGCGCTCGTCTGGCATGCATGCGGCCCGGGTTCGATCCTCAGCACACATACAAACAAAGATGTTGTGTCCGCCAATAACTAAAAAAATTAAAAAGAGGTCTTTCTTAGAAAAAGTGGGCTTTGTGTGTGGTTCTTGGAATTGAACCCAAGAGCACTATACCTCTGATTTACATACCGGGTCTTTGTATTTTGAGACAGGATCTTGGTAAATTTCCAGGCTCATCTCTAACTTAAGATCCTCCTGCTTCAGTTTCTAGAGTAGCTGGTATTACAGGGATGAGCCACCAGACCTGGCTGAAAAGTAAACTTTCATTTTCTGTCTATTGATGGTATAAATGAAAATATTAATGCTATACCTGGTCTCAGGGTTAATATGTAGAGAAATTCAAAAAGGAAGAACTTTCTGTTCTTTTTCAGGGAGTAATTAAGAAAGTCTGGTTAAGAATTTGATCTGGTCAAAGGTAAAGAAAAGCTAAATTTAAAATCAGTTTATGCAGTTAAGGATGCTGAAGGTTGGTTGGTCTAGTTTTAGAAAGGTATGGAAACTATATGCATGTACAAGCATGAGTATATGAAAGTACGCTCTTTTTTTTTCTTCTTCTTCTTTTTGGTACTAGGGATCGAACCCAGGGTGCTTAACCACTGAACTACACTCCAACCCCCTTTTTGTTTTAAGACAGGGTCTCGCTAAGTTGTTCATGCTGGCCTTGAACTGGTGATCCTCCTGCCTTAGTATCCCCAGACACTGGGATTACAGGCATGTGCCATCACATAGACTGTTAGGTGCTTTTGTATATGCACACACAGGAATGTGTATGCATGTGAGTGAATGTGTGTACTATGTGTGCATGTGTAACTATATTTTCAACTAGATCAACACAGGAGGTGGCACAGCTTTGCTCTAAATTAGCAAAGGTTTCATGAGAGGGTACATGCTTTGAATCCCAAAGTCTGGAACTATTCTGCCCGATAACAGTTTGCATATACTGTTATTTTAGACAACAATGAAGATTTGGGGAAATGCTCAGCTTCAAATGAATTGCCCCCAAGAAAATGTGGGCACAGAGCCCAGAGCCAGCATATCACTTGTGTTATGAGATAGGTTATTTCTTTTTTTTTTTTTACTCTTTGTGTCACTTTATTTCTAAATATTATTTTTTTAAACTTATATATGACAGTGGAATGCAATACAATTCTTATTACACATATAGGGCACAATTTTTCATA